CCATCCAGTATCTTTCCTGTGTGGAATAGACTGATCACTAGAGTTGACGGCATTATACACACAGTTTGAGAGGTTGCAATCATTGTAGAGATACAAACACACACACACACACACACACACACACACACACACACACACATGTACAAACACATACACATAGACGTACACGCACACACTATAATATGTCAAATTATAAAATATTTGTCAATGGGAGTGTAAATTATGTATAATCATTTTCCAGAACATGTCAAAGACAGTTCATGTTTTTGTTTGTTCTGTTTTGTTTTACAAACCCCATTTGTCCAAATTCATTAATATCTTTCGTCTACATCCATTTCCTTGACCACCCACAGATCAACACTCGCTCCAAAGCCTTAAGCCTCACGCGAATTGTCTTTGAAGTACACGACCGCGACCGCCTTAGAGGTGACCCTCTGATTGGTCACGTGATGATGGGTCAAGGGTCAACGGAAGAGAGCGTGATGGAACACTGGGACGAGGCCATGGTGGGCAACGGACGCAAGATCTGCCGCTGGCATTACATCATGGAGAAGGGAGAAACTCACGATGTGTGAAGGACACCGCAGCACTGGAAGCTTTGTGGTGAAATCAGGCGCTTGTCAAAATAATAATGAAATTGAAGAGACAAGACATGTTTCCGCCAGTTTGGCATTCTTTATAGAATTTTTATATTTTGGCTCCATAGCTCTTAAGTCCATATAAAAAAAACATTTCCGTGTGAATTTAATTGCAAAACGTTGATTAAAGATACAAAATCTGTAATTCTTTAGTTTTCAAGGACTCTCAAGCTTTTGAAGTTACCAACTTTGGCGGCCACTTTCTCGCTAATTTTACAACTGAAACCAGGCAACCCCCACCTCCTTTAATCGCTTATATCTCGCTTCCATTCACGGTAGATTAGTATTTTCATAGAAAGCAAGGTAAATGAATAATCCTTCAGATGGTACCTGTAACTCCACATACATAAAAACTGACAAGCGCCTGATTCCCCCGCAATGTGATAACTTTTTAAAAAAATGTTTGTCGTCCCCGTTGACACAGTTTAAATCGTTTAGGGAGCGAGGTGCTCCGACCGTGCCTGTCAGTTAATTGCAAACCCGGTCGGACAAAGCCGGATACAGTATCCCAACAGACAGAACAGATACTCGATGAAATAGCTTCCTCACACGCAAACCGAACTCCTATCTCAAGCTAGCAACAGAGGAAGAGCCATTACATCGCCGACGCATGTACTTTTTTTTCGAGCACATTACGGAGTTTAGAGGTATGATGTGGACGAGTAAAAAATGATCCTGTGTGCAAGTAGCAAGAGATATTAATTACGGGTGTCATTCATGCCTCGCTCAAAGCAGTGAAATTAATTAATAGGCAGTACTTTCGGGTTAAAGTCTGTCTCCGTGGAAAAATTGGCCGGATGATTAGAATGTGTGAAAATCTCATCATGCAAAGCAAATTCATGAATATACATGTAATATTTCACTCTTTTGAAGATTCAGACCGGTTGCATTCCAGTCTAGTATGGCACCAAATGAACCAGAACGCGCGCCTATTAATTAAGGGACTCTTTTGGGAAAGGGTAAGGAAAAGGGTGCAATGAAGAATAGAACCATGGATTAAAACTGAGGCCATTTTTTGTGTATGATATATTAAAAATATACAAAAGTCAAAGAGATTCGATAGGATACGGATCGAGGTTTTTTCCCAGGACGGTTAATCCCGCCGTATCTTTTCTCTTGTCTTTGCCGTACCCACTTGGCCGATTTCTGTCACCTAAACACATGGGCATAATGCCACCTTGATCGCGTTCTTAGAATGACAGGGTACCAGCTCCATGAAGCATAGTTTTGAGAAAATGTGATTCAAAGATTCACACTCCTTCAGTTAAAATGTTTTAACAATATTCATTAATCAAGCTTCAAGCTGAAAAAAAAAAATAAAGGTCAGTTTGTCTTGAGTGTTTGACAAGGTATCTGTGTCACAAATGTGTGTGTAACTCAGTTCTCACAAAAAGCGGAGTTCGAACCCTGTCGTCCTTAGAGCTCGAAGTGATGCCTTTGTGGGCAGTTTTTTTTAGTGTGTTTTTTTATTATTCAGAAAGTTGCAGAGTTATTGATTACTAAATTTAAAAAAAACAAAAATCCCTGTTACCTTTTTCAAATCTTTTTCATCTTGATTTTGTCAAGTTACTTTATCTTTCGCTTTCCTTTCCAGCTATAGATCTAAGTCAATCTTCCGCTTTTCCGCTTCTCCCGCCTCACGATTTCTGTTTTGAAGGCACATGTTTAATAATGCCATTTCTGATTCCTGTAACAATACATTTGGAGTGTGTTGTTCACTCATTCACCACATACGTACACACTGACACACACACACACACACACACACAC